TTTTTGGTTTTTGCTGACGATTTATATGTAGCATTTTTCTGTCATTTCTATTATATTATATATATATATATATATATATATTATATTATATTATATTATGAAAAAAAATTCCCACAAATATAAATTATACATCAAATGAAAGCTTATTCTATAAGCTTTCTTTCTTTTTAGAAACATTTTTCTGTATAATTTACAGAAAGTTCTCAAAAATCCACCAGAACGCCGTATACTCAAAAAAAGCAAAAAACCTTGTTACACTGCAAAAGAATCCGGTATTCAAGGGTTTGCACTACAAAAGAATCCGGTATCCAGAGGGTTAAGTTAAAATTGTATTTTAATCAAAAACTGGAACTTACTATAATTAACATTGAGTGATGTTTCGTCCAGCTCCACTGAACTTCTTCAGACAACTGACCCGTTGGATTGATCACGAATCGGGTGGCGAGGAATGCTGCGCATTACACTCTTTTCTATTGAGTTGTACAGAGCACAGTTAGCTTTTACCTTACCTCCAATCAAAATATGTATTAACTTTCCTTGTTCCAAAGTACTAACAAGCTTAAACATCTATAATATACAAGGACTTCTGAAGATAACATCTAATTGCCATCCCCTTTTACTTTAGTAAAAAAAAAAGTTTGTGTTGACCACGTTTTGGGAAAATCCCAAAAATGGGAAGGTCAGTAGGAAAACAGTGCAAAATTGGCCCGATTTTTTTTTTGGGGGGTGGGGGAGGGGGTGGAAGTATACCCAGAGATTCCCTTGTGCTTGAACAGAACGAAAATGACTATTGTTTTTTGAGGTGGCAGATGCATTTCAACAATTGCCCTACGATGGTAATAATAATAATAATTTAATAATAATAATAATAAATGGATTTATATAGCACAGATAAATGAGGTCTCTATGTGCTTGGGACTAGATGTTGCACTTTTCAATAATTTTCTCCTCCCCTGAGGGTCACTTCATGTCTTCAGCAGCCAGTGAACCGGCGCACTTTCATCTGTCCACGACAGGGGCCGAGTGAACCAGTACATCGGGGTAACCCCTACTCATCTCGAAAGGTGTACTGGGTTCTTTAAAGTGCACATGAGCATTTGTGTTCACTGGGCCTACGGTTTATAGTCCTTATCTGAGAAGACTTGTTCCACCATCAGAACTATAGGAGTGAGCTGGCCACAAACCTGTGCCGATATTGTTGGCTATGATCACAGTGCCCCTACCTTAACTGCTCGGCCATTTGGCTCCCTCAAATACAAAATTACGGCAAAGAAATCAGTCTTTACCGAAACATCAAAGAATGGGAACACCTTAATTGTAGTTTAGTAGGCCTAGGCACCTACTCGCACTAACCCTTTTTTGCCTAAACTTGTTTTGTTGCATGATGTAACAAGTTATTTTTAGCAGGGAACCTCTGTGGAGCACTTGAGTTTTCACGCTGTGAATTAACGATCGGATAACCATTAATGAATTTGTTTAATTCCTCCATGATGTAAACTGTAATGATTTATATACAAATATTTTTTACATTATGATTTATATCCACGTTATTCCTTTCATTCCGTTCATTGGGATGTAATTTATAATATACTCTTAATGTGATTACATAATGCAGATTATATTTTCTATTTGAAGGTGTACGAGTATCAATCAAGCGAAAAAAAGATTCTGACCTTGAGAATAGTAGGTGAAAAATTAATTTTATCTTTGTTTTTTTATTGTTAAATTTTTATTCATTGCTGTAGTTTAATTATAGTAAATAGGCTTATTGTCTTTATAAAGCTTCAGGTAAGCAGATATTGTAACCACTAAGTGTGAATGATGGTGTTGGCTTGAACAGTATTATTTAATTTTAAAAATTGCTCACTCATTTATATCCACGTTATTCCTGGACAATATCATTGGGATGTAATTTATAATTTACTCTTAATGTGATTACATAATGCAGATTATATTTTCTATTTGAAGGTGTACAACTAACTTGGCTTGAACAATATTATATTAATACACTATTATTTAACTAAAAAAATGCTCATTCTTTTTAAGTATATATTTTTTTTATATATATATATATATATATATATATATATATATATATATATATATTCTACCCATTTGATTATAAATTAACTTAATTACACACTTCCCTTATAAGCACTTATCACCAGTTGCCACTTGATTTTAGCTCATCATTAATCATACATCTTTTCTACTGACTCATATGCCAGCTACACCATGCACAATCATATATAGTTCTTTTGTAATTGTAATTAATAGTACTGTAAATTACCTTACTCTTTCACAAACCATATCAATAAAACTTTTCACTGTGACACTAAATTTAGAGAAATTGCCCTTCAAACTTGGTGAAATTTTGACCCTTTTAGTACAGCATAGGCCTGAGCTAGCTGAGGTAATTTACTGGTTGAATTATTTGATTATAAGATATAGCGCAACTGTGAAAATGGATGAAAAGAGTTGTCATGGAGTTTCACCATCACAAACTAAATTCTGGTCCTATCATCATTTCTATTCAATACTTTTCAATATCTGTTTACACAATAAAATAGTAGAATAGTTTGTAGTGTTTCTAAATACCAAACTATAAATAACTTTTATAAAATTACATATGGTTCACTTTAAGTAAAAAATCTATCCTCTGTCCTGTAGTGTACATTTATGACTGTATTCTATAGATATACATTGTGTTGCTTGATAAAGTAAAACTGCTGATGAAATGGCTTGTGTACAGCATTTATAAAATAATGAAAACTTAAAAAATGCCTTTTGTCTTTTAAATATTTTTTGGATGCAAATCTACAACTTTCAATCATACTGGCCTGATCAAAGGCAAACACCCATTTGGAATAAAAAAAGTAATGTGGTGGTGTCAAATATAAATCTTGTCACAGTTAATGATAAATGTGCCATTCATTTTCCAATTTTGATGACGATTAGCAACTAACATTTTTAATATAGCCAATCTTTAGGTCATCCACAAACTTCCATCTATCCGGCACATGTTTCAGCAGATCATTCACCATGATGGTGAACAGTAGTGGGCCTAATTTAGTGCCCTGTGGCACACCACATGTGACTGGTTCTGGCGCTGAAACAGCCCCACCTAACCTCACACAATGATTTCTTTGGGTAAGGAATCTAGACACCGTTGGGATAATAGAAGGCATGATGTTAAGATTAATTAGCTTATTGACCAAAATAGAATGATTGACTCGGTCAAATGCTTTACTAAAGTCTAATGGCACATCCCTTACGAAAATGTCCTATAGGAATCCTATAGGATCCTATAGGATCTTAAAGGTGTTCTAAAGGTTTGCATATTATCCTATAAAACTAAATCGAGTCCTATAGGACTTTATCAAGTCCTATAGAAATCTATAAAAATCCTATAGGACACTATATATATATATATATATATATATATGAATCATAATTTCTTGGTTTATCTATAATTTAACAGTGGTAATGGGCTATATTGATATCCCTATATAGGTTATATATATAATATAGATTATAATATGAACATAACACAATTAAATTTGAATACTAATACAGTATTATATATATATATATATATATATATATTTCAAAAACAACACAACAGATCGTATCTTCATCATAGGCAAAGCCCGTATTTAATCCAATAAGTTATGGCCTTAACGGCCCCAATAAGGCATGTTTCGGCAGTCCACTACCATCGTCAGTTATCTATTGCACGCAGGCAATCATTGATATAGGGGAGTAAAAATTCAATGTATGCAGGCTCAAAAATTGTGGAATGAACCGTAACAGTACTACAAAGCAAAATTTTGTTATTATTATTAGAAGCAGACTTAGAAAACAAAAATTAAGAATTTAAAAATTAATTTAGCCCTAGTTTCCTTTGCTTCCAGGGATTCTTCCCTTCCCCTGGACCGTTGAAGGGTTCTGGACAGCCCACGTGGCCCTGTCCTCCTTTGCTTCTGTTACAGGGGTGGCATCAGTGGAGACGGGGGGGGGGTGTTTTGGGCTCTTTGGTAAAAACAATATTTGTCGGCGAGAAAAAATACATATGTAGGCCTACTTTTGACATTATTTCTAAGCCTTTGAAACCTCTAAATTGTCATATTTTTGGGAAATTTTCCCTGTTTCCCTGTTCTGCTGAAATAATTAAAAAATATAAATTTATATTACGAAAATCCTGGCAGTATAATTAATAATACATAGCCAAAGTCTAGGCCTATACTAAATCGTGGATATAATAAAACATACAACTTTAAAACACAAGTTTACAAGCTAACAATAACAGATGTTGCCATTTAAGCTGTACAGCCAACAACGGATAATCTCAAATCACCAATGTGATTGGTCACTTTATCCATGTTTATCACTGAAGGCCATGGAAATTAACAAAGGTGCTTTTTTGAATTCAGTTAACTGAAATTTGTTAGTGAATTAGAGCTCTTTCTCAGTGCACATTCATGATGATAAAACAGGCATAACCATACTTTCTGAAGTATTTCAGCAGTACCAATTGGTAAGAATTGTTTTTATATTAATATTCATTTAATGTTGTTTAAATTGACGCATTTAGGCTTAGTATAATGCGTCTTTTAAGTCAAATTGAATTGGTTTGGATTGGATCTCTAGGCATAGGATTAGGATAGGAGCCTAGGCCTAGGGGATAAAAAGCATGCTATGATTCTCTGAATCTAGCCTAGGCCTGTTAATAAGAAAAGACAGAAGTGAGGATATACCAAAGAGGGCTAGGCTCGGCCTGCCCTATTATGGAAGTATTGGAGTGTGGTAAATTGGGCCGTGTTCTCACTTATTTATTATTGTAAAAGTCCATGATATGATTATTTTAATGATTTTTATAGAGGTAGGCATAGGCCTCTATAGGCTAGGCCTATGCTACTGGTATTATTATCATTATTACCAACAACTCCCTCGTATTTACAACAATTTGCATTGATTTGTTAAATGCTTCTAATTTATGTGAACAAATTAAGATTTCTTTCTGATAAATTAATGTTACAGAACAGAATAAACATTTTTTTTTTCTCAATTTCCAATTCACAGCAGCAGGTGAGCTAACTAATCAAAAATAAATTTTATTTTTATTTTAAATCCTTATTTTCGTCGAACAGTGGGTTTGCAAAACAAAATATCAAAAAATCATTATATGTTGACTTTCAGAATTTGTTGGTAAAGGAATTTTTCTCAGTGAAAACTCATGAAGTAAGAAAGCGTTGATGTTTGTTTAAAGCCTTAATGCGGCAGTTGGAGAAACAGGAAATTACCTGACTTTCAAAGGTGAATAATTTTTTTTTAAGTTTCAAGTTTTTAACACTTTAAATATAGGAACTCACTGGTACTAATGGTGGAGGTTATCAATTAATCAATAATGTGTGTGTAAGGCCTACTGCATAAAGGATATTAACATTGTAAGTATATTGCACAATATTTTAATGCTTTTAAAACTAAGAAAAAAAAGGATGGAGCAACTAATTAACCGACTTGTGATTAAGAAGTGTGTTAGTCTCTTATTTCAGCTCCCGCATATCATACTCTTATTTTAATACATTCATGTTGAAGGAAAATACAAAATTTAAAATGTGGGTAGAAAATTTTAAGATACATTTTCAATACTAATTAATTACTTGCCTTAAAGACACAAACGGCAAAATCTGTTTAATTATTATGATTTAAAATTTTAAAACAATTAGAGCATTAATCATATTCCAACTGTCAGTTCTTGGTTATTTTGCCCAGCCCCTCAATTCTTTATTTTGACCTAGTGTATGTATTATTATGATTTTTCATGACTCACTTTTTTTTTTCACTTTTTTTTTTCAAAGAAGAGTTTCAAAATGCACAAGACAACTGTATGTATCACTTTGCTCTGATTTAAAGAATTGTTTTGTTATATCTTTCAGCATGTGAAGCAAGGGTGAAAATCCGAAGCCATCTTGATTCAATATTTCAAACTTAGTTTGGTCATTCTGCAGAATCTTTGATGAATGGCATCTTTCAGCAAGATTTAAATTTACTCTGCTACCATTGGACAAGAAAAAGCACGGATATAGACAGCTCCGGTTTCAATATCATACAGAAAATATCTGGTTTATACACACCTGTAACGCGACAGATTCTTGAACAGGGTTTTGTATAATAAACTCTAGTTGACGCCTTAATATAAATTACAGAAAAAAAAAACTGATTTGAAGACTGTAAAGCATTTAGGTACTGCTGGAATTTGAGGTACGTGCATCAGTAAGGCTTAAGACGAATAATATTATGTGAAGGGGTGTGCAGTTTATGCATAGTTGATGTTTTTAATTAAAGAAATCATGGTTTGTATATCTTGAACTCAGTGTATTTTGTATGTCTGCAGGAGTTGTTCAAGCCATTATTATTTTTCCGTCCAGTAGCCACTTCAGCTCGAAATCAAACACATCAGTCATTCAATACTGCTTGTGGAACCAACGGATGTCAACAACCAGCTAACCCGTCAATAACAACTTACTAAGTAATCATTGCTTGCATTAATATTAACAAACAGTACAGTATATATTTACAAAAATAAGAAATGTATATGAATCTGTTATAAATCATTATATACAGCTTTCTTATAAGAATCTTATGAGACAACTAAAGCATTCACAGAGGATTCCTGCAAGACATCTATACGATTCCTTTAGGAAATCAATAGGATTTTTTAACTAAGCAATCATTGCTTGCATTAACATTAACAAACAGTATATATTTACAAAAATAAGAAATTTATATGAATCTGTTATAAATCATTATATACAGCTTTCTTATAAGAATCTTATGAGACAACTAAAGCATTCACAGAGGATTCCTGCAAGACATCTATACGATTCCTTTAGGAAATCAATAGGATAAAAATAATACTTACAGGATTCCTATATAATTCTTATAAGACACCCATACGAATCCTATGGAAACCATATAGGATTCTTATAGGATATCTATAGGGACCCTGTATTATTCATATAAGACTTCCATAAGATTCCTTTAGGAAATCTATAGGACTTCTTTAAGATAACTTTAGGATTACTAAAGGAGTTCTATAGGATTCTTATAAGGCGCCTATATGATCCCAGAAGGAAATCTGTAAAATTCCTATAAAATATCTATAACATTCCTATAAAATATCTACAGGATTCCTATATAATTCATATAAGACTCCTATAAGATTTCTATAAGATATCTATAACTTTTCTATATTCATATAAGGCTCCTATAAGATTCCAATAAGATATCTATAAGATTCCTATAGATTTTATATAAGAAACCCATAGGATTCCTTTAGAAAATCTATAAGATTCCTTTAGGCATTCTATAGGATTTCTATAGGATAACTATAAGATTCCTATTTGTTTCATTTAAAAATCTTGCAGTTTTCCTATAAGATTTCTTTAAGAATCTTATAGGAAACATATTAAAATTCCTATAGAATACTTATACGACTCCTATATGATTCCTATAGGATTCCTAAAGGATATCTATTGAAATAATCCTATAGGATCCTATAGATGTGACGAAAAATCTATAAGATTCCTATAAGATTTTCTCTTATAGGATCCTATAGGACATTTTTGTACCATAAGTTTCCGGACTATCCGTTCCCGACAGCAACCTATTACAAAGCTGAACAAGATAATGGGTAGGCGATGAACCTTTAGCATTCCCAAACTGTTAGGGATCCATGTGAGGCTTAAAATCCCTAGCTATCCAATCAGACACGAAAGCTTCAAAGATCCTACCAAAGACAGGTGTAATGGATATTGGCCTATGGTCATCTAGAATAGAAGCCTTAGGTTTTTTGGGAACAGAGGTTATTATGTCATTTTTCCAGATAGAAGGGAATATGGAATTTCTGAGACAGCAATTAAATATTCTGCACAAAGGGGGAGCAAGCTTCAAAGAAAATTCTTTGTTTAACCGAAGCGGTATATCTTGAGGATGACAGGATTTATTTACATTAATTGCCTTTAAAAGTTTGTAAACTTGCCCAGAGTATATGATTGGGAGCTCAAATGTGGGAAGAAAGGCTGCTAATTTTTGCAGATTAAGTGCCGGCAAGTACGAACAAATAATAGCAAAATGCTTATTAACAACATTAGCAACAACATTAGAGTCACAACCGGGCTCAAGGGAAACGGGGTTTTGATCATCCAGAGATCTTCTGTACTTTTTTGTGCCACTTACGATGCTCATTTTTCTTTAGAGAAGCAATAGATTTTTCATAGAAAGAGGATTTAGCCAATTTAATCTCATAACGTACTAACCTTTTATAATGTTGGTATGGCCAATCATTACCTTTTCTGTAGGCACGATGTCTTTTATCAAGGTATTTTTTTATACGTTGATTGAACCAGGGCTTGTCGTTTTCCCTAACACAAACCAATACTGACTGGAAAGAATTCGTATAGGTATCCCTTTCCAATACACTTTCCAATTTACCAGCAAGGTACTCAGGGTCATTTCCGTTTAAGGGAATCAAATCATCCCAATCCATTCCTGTAATGACTTGACCAAAACACCGCATACATGAATCCTTTAGAGGGCGACGTTCAACTGTCTTCCTTTTTAAATGCTTTTTTTGAAAATTACAAGGTTCGTATAAAATGGAAGCATGTTCACCACGACCTAAAGGAGAGAGTTTGAGTGGAGATTGATAAAGATCAGACTTATTTTATCTAGACAGGTGTTCTCGTGAGTTAGAAAAACCAATAACCTAGTCGAGACAAGTCTGGTCAATTAAGGGGTTAACATCATAATCATTGAAGTCGCCCATTATCAAAAAGGAAGCATCATCCCTTAAACTTCGAAAATAATCAATTTTAGAACACAAGAATTCAGTAAGCAGCTGATGCTGGTTACAGTTGGGGGGATAATAAACAACAATGGCGAGAATAGAAGAAGTATGGCTGACCTTAACATTGACACAGAGACACTCAGGATCATCAGGGCAATCATTTTCCAATTTGTAGTCATACATTTCATTAATATATAACGCCACACCACCACTAGCGCGACTACTTCTGTCTTTTTGAATACATGAGTAACCCACAACAGCTGAACATTCGGTAGTAAAATTAGAATGAAACCAGGATTCAGTTATACCTGCAATACCTATGTTGTTGTCCCTTAATATTAGTTCAAACTCACTCATCTTATTACACAAAGAACGTGCATTGGCAAGATATACGCTGGGTTGAAATTTCCTAAGTTTAACCACAGGTTGAATAGGAATTAAAACTCTAGGACCCCTTCAAAAACCAGTATTAACTGAGTTAATAACTCTGCTAAAATGCACTGGTATTTTCTTATGCATATGAGAAGCCTGCTGTCCCCTTTTACGTTTAAAGATAGCATTAGGAGACCTGAAATTATTTGAAAAAATTATGAAGAAAATATCAATTCCCAATCAAAACATTACAAGCAAATAGAGCCAAGCTAAGTTCAAGACAAGCAGGGAATTGAAGTGACCAAGAGCAATTGTTCTTCCCCAGAGAACATGACAAGAACAATAAAATCTAAGTTGTAGGGCCTAGTAAAAACATAAAGAAAACTCACCAAACACCACAAAAATGCACCAAACAAGAAAGTACAGAGGAATAAAAAATAATGAAGAACTCGACATCAACCACACCAAGCCAATATTATTAGAAGAAAAAGGACAATTAACCAAATTAACAAGAAGTGCGAGGCAGACAGCTAACCAGTGCCAGGTCACATATTACTGTGCTAATAATAATAATAATAATAATATTATTTTTATTTGACAAAGTAAAAGTATAATTTTGCCAGGAGCAAGGAATAAGCACGAGCCCAAAAAGTAAAACTGCCCTTGCTCCATCATTAAAATATACACTATATATCACTATATGACTTTATACAAAAGTGTTAATGTTCAATACATGACTAAAACACACTCCCGAACACACCAGCTTCCAAAAGCACTTAAAACGTTATGAAATAATATTTAAAGAAATTATTTTTTAAAGAAAGAGAAAATTGGTATACACAAGAAGCAAAAAAAATAAAAAACAGTTTTAAATGAAATCAATTTTTTGAAGGAATTTAATGAATTGGGTGTATATGGGGGAAGATGCCAGAGATATGTTCCAAAGGTTAACTAAGCAGTATTTAATGTTTTTTCCCCAAATTTGTTGCCATTGTTAAGTGGGCTAATGCATTATGGATGCTTTTGTTATTTTCTCTTCTTAGACCCGTTAGAAATTTTAACGAAATTACAAGAAAATATAGGCGCTCTGAAGACATCAGATATTCCATCATTCTCTTCGAAATTCAGAAGACTTCATATGTATTTTAAAAACATTGGTTTACATTTATCTGAGTTAGAAGATGGATCTATAAAATTTTGTCTGATTGCACATGATCTTCGGGCTTTGCAAAAGCTAAGGAAATTACAAGAAACTGGGGAGCTTAGGAAAGATTTATTGGCCATATTATTGCCAGAAGAACATCAGCAGGAAGACTTAGATGAATGGATGACATACCTCAATGAAAATGAATTCAAAGCTACTCTCAGTCTCAGTAAGCAGAAGGAAAAAGGTGAAAATATTTTAAGATGAATTTATTCAATTTTACTGTCCCCTCTCAGTTTTGAGAGTCAAAATGCATTTCCCAGCTGCTTCATCATTTTTCAAATCTAACGATACCCAAATCTTGCTTCATGGTATAACTTGTCATTTTTTGGTTAATTAAAAATTGTGGAATATTTACTGATAAAGAGGATTGAGCCCACTCCCAGCATAGCTGTACAACATCCATGGAGTTTATTTTTACACTCTGCTCTGTTGATACAATCACAATAGTGCAGATTTATTTCTCCTTTTATCCTCTCTTTAAAGGCTTTGCTGGAGGAAACGAACAACAGATGAGAAATTTTTCTGAACCTGAAAGTAAGAAATCTATCTAATCTGTACTTTCTATGAGTATTATATTTTCATTCATCAGGTAATGATACTCATTGAATTATATGGCTATCTAATGAGAAACTGCTAATAATGATCAGGGGCGTACGGTGAAAAATCTAAGGGGGGTCGAAACGAAAGCGCAGGTGGCAAGCTGAACTCCGAGCAATTTAGCGAAGCTTTTAGAATTCGCGGGGTGCGTTATTTGTGAGTGAAGCGTGCATATTTAAAGGGCACTTTCTTTAAAAGGGGGGGTCGACCGCACCCATCGACCCCCCCCCCACGGTACGCCCCTGATGATTAACGTTTTGTAAGCGTATTAGCTATGATAATACAATATATTTAATAGTTTTTTTTTTAATTGTAATGTGAGATTTTACAATGTACTGATATTTTATTATGTATTCTTTTAACTCAATAGTTAATGCCTTTATTCTGTTACCAAAGATACAATGCCCAATACCAGCAAAGAGCACAGTAATTATACTATATTTATGTTTGAAAAATAAATTACCTTTTAAATAACATATAATGATTTTCTATAATATAAATTAATCTGTACTAGGGTCTTTTTACAATATATTGCAGGCCCATACACAGGGGGGTGGAACGGGTGCGTACGCAACCCCACCCACAATCACCAAAGGTGTAAATTTTCCGGGGTAGAAAATTCAAGACACACTCACACATTTCAGAAAGCTATCCACTATAACTTTCTGACTAATCAAGAGCATTTTCCAACTAAGACTGCCTCATATTTGCCATGCAAGCAAAGACTTTGAACTGTATTTATTAGCTTTTTGAGTAATTTGAGTGTTTTCCCCGCCGTTTGCGTGTCAATAACGCACCACACAAAACTCATCTTCTATTCTATATGTTTCACTAGAATTATCTTTATACTTGTTCATGTCTTCGAGCAGGCCTGTACACAAGGGAGTGCGGGTGCGTACGCAGCCCCTCCCCCAAATCACCAAAGGTCCACATTTTCCAGGGTAGAAAATTCAAGGCACACTCTCACACGTTTCAGAAATCCATCCACTAAAATTCCTTAAATCAGCGTAGTTTCCAACTAGGACTGCTTCTAATTTGTCGTACATGTAAGGATTTTAAATTTTATTTATAAGCCTTTTGAAGAATTCGAGTGTTTTCCCCGCCGCTTGTGTATTCCAGGCTCCCACAGATTATAAGTTATAAAGAATATTAAGAAAAAACAAAACATACAGAAATTTATAATCAAATTTAAGTCAGAGAGCTCCATTTCCGGCCGTCTATAGGTGCCACATAATCATACATTTTCTTTCCTCAACCCCAACCATGTTTGGGCCACACCCGGCTAAGGTGGGTGAACATGGGCTTTCACTAAACACACCTCTATTTCAAATTCCTGAATCTGCAGCGGATCTCCTGATCCGGTAGAATGGTGGACATATTCGCTTCAAAACAACAAATGGCTTTATTGCTTTCCCCAACTTGTTCCCAATCAGCTCAGTATAGACTTATTTTGTTATTTTCTCATTTTTTAAATGTCTAAAGCGCTTGTATTAATTGGTTCATATTCACAATTTCCAAATTTTAATCTTAGAATGACATTTCTGGCGAATCTTAGAGGTGCCATAATTAATATTTTTCCTACCTTTGCCTACCTCATACTGCATCTTCAAAATTCGCACCCACCCAATAAAAATCCTGCATACATCCTGTATTGATGTAGGAAAAGAATTTTTTTGTTACAAAATTAACCTTTCAAAAGAAGGAAAACAAATTCTGACCAAAGAAGCCAGATATCCAGTTATCACTGTCCTAAGGCTTTTTTTGGCCTAACAAACAGTAATATGCTAGAATTGTGGAAGTATAGTAGTAATCTACTGAAGACCTTTTTTTACATATGGTCATTATCTACCTAATCAAATTTAAACTGTACATACTGTATGTTTTATGTATGTAAAATCAGAAAGTTTCTTGACAAACCTACTACTCTACGTCTGATATATGCCTTTCTCAATTCACGGCTCGATTATTGCAATATTCTCATCTTTGTACTACCCAAGACACAAATAGCTATGCTACAGCGTGTTCAAAATTTCGCTGATCGTCTGGTTACCTTAACTAAGCGACGTATCCACATTTATCATACTATATGATCTTCACTGGCTTCCTGTCGACAAGAGAATTACTTGCAAAACATTGCTGTTATCATACAAGGCAATGAACAATCTCACTTGCTCACTTCTTACACGCTTCAAAGAAACTCCTAAAAGTTCCGAAAAGCACTACAATCACATAGAGCTCACAGGTTTTTCCTCTGCAGCGTCTACCTTATGGAATGCTCTTCCAGATGAAATCAGGATTGCTGACTCACTTCAGCGTTTTAAAACACAACTAAAAACTCACCTTTTCTCTGAAAGTTTTGCTGAATTTCTTTAAGACACTTTTACTCTATTTTGTTTATTTGTTCTTTCTTTTCCCATGTTTAGCTAGACACCGCCATCACTTGAGCACCTGTGAGTAATGCATCGGCGGGCTTCACGCCTTAAATTGATGATAAACGGTGCGGTGTTGGTTTGGTTTGGTTTGGTTAGGCGTCTAGAGTGCTGTTAGTCTAGGTTCATGGTTTTTTTTTTCTTGTCCATTTTCTTCTGATGCGCCTCGAGGTTGGTCCAACGAGAGGTGCTATACAAATTACAAATTATTATTATTATGTTTATGCCCATAGTCTTTTTTTTTATCTTTTTCAAAATTGCTCTGTTAATATAATTACAAAATGCTCTATCATTTCATAATTTTATTATTTATTTTAAAAAGGCAATGGTAAAAAAAAAAACAAGCGCAAAAGACATTTGTCCGACTCTGAAGGTAAGCACAAAATAGTTATTCTTTAGTTAATGATTTTTTTTTTTTAAATTGAAACGTGGCATATTTAGGGGTGAGCAAGTTGCATGGCTTACAAAAAAAAGCTTGCCCTACCCCTCACACCCCCCCCCCCAAAAAAAAAAACTAGAAATGTTTGAAGAAAAGAATTAAGCTCAAGTACTAGTTAAAAATCGTCTTATTTTGCAAGCTAGTGCTCCTTCACTTAATCATTGATCTCCTTCACTTAATCCACAACCGATCGTGTATTTTATCCATAGGCCTAATCTCAATGGTAAAAGTTTAAATAAATTTGCATAAATATGATTCATTATTTGAATTGAAATTTGTTAAAATACAAGAGTAGGAATTCTTTTTAAGAGAAGATACTACAACCATGGTGGTATTAAAAATAACTAATAATTATATAAAATATTTTGACTAGAAAGCAATCTGATTCTGTATAGTAGCAGGCTTACAAACTTTTCCTACTAGCAGGCCCTAGCATTAGTGACGTAGGGGTTTTGAAATGGAAAGGATCTGATCGGGGTGGAAAGGTAAATAGTTGGGGATTGATGAATAGGTAAAGGGGATAACTCACAAAATGAGTTAATTTGAGGTGATTTTTAAGTACTTAAGCATGATTTGTGGGAGGGCTCGACTGGGGATGGGCGAGTATTTTCTTTTTCGGGGAGGGGGCGTACTCATCCTATGCCAATACCTAGTATACCCTGCAATTTACACTATGATCCGCCACTGCTCCCCGTTATTTCACGACAATTAAATTTCAGTCTGTTTTACAATTTACTGCATTCATTACAATAGTGCAGATATTTGGTTATCGTTTTATCCTCTATTTAAAGGGGCTAGTGGAGAAAAAGTACAATGCATAAGAAATTCTTCTGACTCTGAAGGTAGGTGCAAAATCAATTTGATCTTTATTTTTTAACTCTGCCAACTTATGTTTTTCCCTGTTTATTTATTTAGTTATTTATTTGTCTGTCAGCATATATGTTGTGAACAGCCTACGGCCCTCAGTATAAAAAAAAAAGAAATTCATCAAACTTGGCCACAATGTTCCTTTACCCGAGATCTAGAGCTGATTAAATTTTGAAGGGTCAGGGTCAAGGTCACAATCAATGAAAAATTATTTTTTTATTTGTTTACAGCTGATAGTTTTAATCACAGACCTGTCAAACTTGGTCACAATGTTCCATGACCAAAATTTCATTACCTTTTTCAAGGAGGTTGGCAGGAGGTTGTGTTTTTGCCTCTGTTTATTTATTTATTTATTTGTTTTGTCTGTCAGCATTTTTGTTGCGAACAGCCTACAGCCCGTAGCATACAGTCCATGACTAAAGATCTCAAAGTATTGGAATGTTGAATGGTAAGGGTTAAAGCTCAGGGTCACAATCACAAAGTAACAGTTTTTATCAGAAACTTGGCCACAATGTTCCTTTACCAAAGATCTGGAAATGACTAAATTTTGAATGGTCAGGGTCCGCACTACCAGCCCTGGGTTCAAACACAAGGCAAACATGTAGTTATACTTGTTTATTGTTTTTTATTATGATGTGGGTGGAGGTATGCACTCTCTGAGCGGCCTCTAGTTTATTGGTATCATGTTTAATTTTTATTATTTGGGGACCACACCAGATCAGTTGATATTTACTATTCTATTTTTAAATGTATAATATTCAATGAATTTTTTTTTTTCATTTTACAGACATTCAAAATGCATCTTCAAAATCTAGAGAAGATGTTAGAGGTAACAATGTACAATGATTTGTCTATATAGTCTGGACCTATTGTGTGCACCCTTCAAGACTCTAGTGAAATTTATAGTTTATCTAATCAAACCTTACTCCTAATCTTGATCAAAAATATTTACACTCATAGTTGACAACCAAGACAAACTAAATGAGATGCCGTCTTCTTCACACAAGTGAATTCAGACCTTGCTAAAAGTTGATACATATTCATATGTTCGACACCACCAGGGGCGGATCCAGAGATGTCCAAAAGGCGGGGCCGAAATTTGGGCCGATCGAGACAACAATGTCCTAGGGGGTCCGGGGGCATGCCCCCGCGAAATTTTTGTGTTCTAGACGCCCGAAAATAACATTTGAGGCGTTCTGGGCTATCATTTTTTTTC